TCCCGACGCCCTCGAAGCACACGATGCACGCACCCTCACGTCGCTGGACGTCGCAGTACATCGTGACAAGGGAGGACGAGCAGATGCCGTCGCAGAAGCTTCATCATTCGAGTCGAATGCTGATGATAATGATGGCGATGGCGGCAGCCGCGCGGGAGGCAAAATCTGGCGGGGCAAATTTCGGCGGGAAGCAAATGTTCGTGTCCTGCGGCTGCAATCGAACTTCTCACCATGAACATTTATGCGTCCATCTCGCCGTCCATCAGAAACGATTGTAGCACCCGCTCCATATGGTTCATCGGCGCCACCCCGACCTTTTTCTCCGCCCCCAGCTGCACCAAGCAGTCGATTAACACGTGCAAGGAAGGATCCGCTGTCATCAAGATCTTGACGGTGTCGCTCTTGTGGGCTGTCTGCACCTTGGCGAACGGGTACTTCTGCGAGACCTCGGGCAGGCTCAGCGCTGACACCTCCTGGCGCCACGCTGCGAGCTTGCCTGCATTGGCGGCGCCTACCGACTGGCCCGCCTCTGTGCACCCCTCCGTCAGGCCGACCAAGCACGCGAGGGAGATGGTGCCCGTCTGGGCGATGTCTTCTTCCTTCTGTCGGGCGCGAAGGTCTTGAGCGGACTCCACCCACGCCTTGACGCGTGCCCTGCTCCTCTGAACGGGGATCGCATTCTCTGGCATCACCAGCGTGACCAGCAAGACTGCTTCTGACTGCCGCTGCCTCATCGTCACATTTAGCAACAATTTCATGACCACTGGAACGATACGCTTGATCTGCTCCAACTCTAGCGTCTCCAGCTGTTCGAGCTCTTCCTTGGGCACGCGCTGCTTCCCCTGCCGCTGCGCGCCCTTCTTCGCCACGCGGTCTCCTCGTCCCTCGGACGCGGGTGGAGGCCGACGCCTGCTGGACTCGCTCACGACGGACGAGCTCGCAGCAGGGACCGCCGAGAACATACCACACAAACTCTGGTAGTGGAAGTGGCAAGTGTGAGACTACGTGCCTCTGCAACTGCTCGAGAGACTCAAACGGCTCCTGACATTGGGGACATATCCTGATATCTGGGTCCACAATCGGAGGATCATACTTCGAAGAGTCCACGCGGCAACGCCCATACTGGTACGCATTCACGAGGTGTCGAACAGCGGTGTCACGGCATCGAAAGGTCGACGAACAAGCGATACATTGATTCGTAACCACGAGCTTAGAGACCAGCGAAGGGACCCCGTGTTGGCCACCCGAGGCCTGGCGCTGGTGAGCAAGAAGCGCACGACGAGTTTGAAAGCGACGATCGCATGAAAGCCCGTCTCCCGTAAGCAGGGTGCAGACGTGATCGCCCGCAGCGAGCTCACCTGGGTCAGGAGGGGCCTCGGCAACAGGAACCTCACGAAGGAGCCATTCGGCCCTCAGCTGCTGGACATCGAACTTCTGAAACGCATGAAACGCATCCTGGTCATCTCTGAACACGTTTAGGTAGTCCCCGCCCGTCAACTCCAAGACATTCCTCCCCTCCTCCGTGTGCCCGAGGTACTCGAGGTCCCGAAAAAACTGACGGGCCCACGGATTGGTCTTCGACGTGTCCTGGAGGTGAACCTGAGCCGAGGGAAACCACTCGAAGGGCGACGGCGTCGGGGCCTCAAAGTCGAGCTTCCCAAAGACCGCAGTGAGCTGCTGGACGTGCCAGACGGGGGACCTCGCCACCTTCTGCCACTCCTTAAGTCTCTGAACCCGTAGCTCCAAGGGAATCGGAACAAGACCCGCACGTTTCCAGATCTGGATGGCCGGAGGGGTTCGGATCACAACATGCTCGGACCCGTCAGCCGCGACCATCGGAACCTTAACAGCAACGCCCCCCAGCAACACCTTCAGGTACTTAAGAACGATGGAGTCCAATCGGGCCTCTTGAGACTCTGAGAGCACCACGGCCGTGAGTCCAGACACCGCCGCCCCGATCACGTTGCTACGAAAAGCCATTTTCTTCGAACGCCAGGCCGTACATTCCGTCCAGAAGCGTCTCATGTGGGCCCACCCTCTGACAACAGCGGCACAGCGAGCAGACACCTCGGAGCTCCAGGAACCCGAAGACTCGAACAAAGTACCCAGGAACGGCACCACAGGCAGGACGAGCCCTGGTAGATTATCCCCAGCCTGAAACGCTGCTCGTGTGAAGCGGTTGGCACCATGCCCGACGTAGTGTGGCAGAACTTGCTTTTTCCCATCACTCTGGTAGATCCCGTGAGGCGACAGCTGAGAGTTCAACAGTCTGTCAGACTTGTAAATGATACGACGTGCACTGGTAAGATCCTGGACGACGTGGGTCTTATTGACGTCGTCAGCGAAAATTCTCAGAGACAAATCGCAGCGTGTCCCCGAGATGGTACACACTCCCTGCAGCTGGCTGGCCTGGTCGCTGTGGTGCGCCTCCTGCCAGGCACGGATCGGCGGCGCGAACGCCTCCTGGAAAACGGTGGCCGCATTTGAGTCCCCCATGTAGTTCCCCTCAGAGTTCTGAAAGACCTTCGATTCCCCCTCAGCACACACCATGAAGCAAGCAGCACGATGGCGCTGACGAAGGATGTCAGCATCAGCAGGATCATATATACGAGCAACAGCAGCATCCAGTGTATTGTGTTGAACAGACCCGAACGCATTTCGCATATCATGTTTGGTATCCACCGTAGACAGTCGGCCCCGTTGGGCCCTCCAGGTTAGGGCGGCAGTGGCCCTCACAGCTCCCGTACGCGATCGCCGAGGTAAATATCCGTAGTCGTGGTAGGGGATGTCCCTGGCCCGTCTGGAGGCCGTCTTCACCCACATTTTACCAAAAGAACATAACCCATGTAGAAGGCGGGTTCCCAGGGTCCGCAGTTTCCCATTGTCCTTGGGCAGTTGGTACGTGAATGACTGATTCCACTGGGCCACTAAACGGCCATGCTGTCGAACTTTAGTTAGTATGGCTGCTACCCACCGCGCAACTAGCTCACCCCGTCCTCGAGGTTGGGGGGCCCCGAGTCCAGCAACACGATCTGGCCCCTCAGGGCGCTGAGAAAGAAGTAACGACCATACCTCGTTCGGCACGCTCCACGGTACCGCGGCGCGACGACGACGAGCAGTGCGGAACCCCTTGGAAATTCTGTCCAGATCAGCCCTCCCCCACTCCACCTCCTCGGTCGTCGGAAAATCCGCCGTGTCGTATTTCGACGCAAGCTCCAAAAACTTATCCCCGTCGATCGGCTTCGCAGACATTCCCCCACTGCTCGACGGCATCGCCAAATCCTCCACCCACTCCTGCATGCTCGGGGTATAGGCAGCTATGTGTCCAAACCTACGCCGTCTCGGACCTACCCCAGCTCCAGCCATGAGTCGACAGATCCGCCACTCCTCAGACATGAGGCCCCGTGCGTGAGCATCTGCAAGTTCCTCTGCAAGCTGAGCCTCACGCTGCTGACGAAGACGCCTCCGCAGCCCACGACACAGACGGGTCAGACGCGACAGAGCTAGAACATCTTCTAAATTGTCCGTAACCGCAGCCCGAGCCTGTCCACGCAACCTAAGAAGCCGAACGCGCTCACGAGCTAGCTCCTGATAAGCAGCAGGAAGGGCCCTGGGACTTGCTTCGAACATGCTTAAACCCTGACGCTGAAGGAGGTCGACTAGTTCGTGCCAAGCAGCCTCTAGAGACTCAGCATCTTGGACAAGCTGCTCAACTGAGACACATCCCTTTGCCTCAAGAACCTCGCCGATCGCGCGTTCCACTGACTGGCGAAAGGCATCAGCATGGAACTCACTACGAAGTGCCTGTCCGAGCCCCACGAAGTCCCACCTTTTCCGCTCCTCACGATCGACATGACACGGACGTAAATCAATCTCAAGAATGAATGGTACATGATCTCGAGGCCGGCTGTCAGGAATGGCCTGAAGTCGGCGTGCCGTCCGAAAAGGTTGGGTGAATCGTCGTACACTCGGCACGTGTGACGACGGTATCAGAACATGATCGATCCATGAACAACTCTGCTGCTTAGCTTTCCCTGACGCTGCAAACATACGAGCCGCCGTCGCCGAAGGTGGGGAAGTCGAGGGAGTCCGATCCGTCGTCGTCGACTTCGTAGGTACCCCATAATAACTAGGCCCTCCACTGAAAACAGTATCTAAAACCGACAGCTCGTACGTCTCAGCCAGTTCTCTCATGAGTCCCCCAGCCTGGTGTTCGACTCCCCTTCCGTAAGGCCCCAGGGCCTTGCTCTCGACCATCACGTGACCGTGCTTACCACCCACGAGCCCGATACCGTCATTAAGATCAGTAGCCACAACAGGAAACGTACGACACGGAAGAGATGACAGCACATGATGCCCAAAGTCCGTCACACGTGAAATCGTCGTCGATAACTGCTGCTGCTCGCGTGGATCTCGAGACCGAGGAGGGTAGTACAACGCCACCACCGAAAGATCACCATAGAACGATTTTACTCGTATTGCTGCTGCGCGTCCACGAATGTCAGGCGGTGCAGTCCAGATGCGAACTACATCACGTGCACGTACAGTGTTTTTGTTCAAGTAAAAAGCAATGCCACAAGAACAGTTAGTCAGCGCTCCTTTAGCAGACCACCCACAATGGACCACTTTGAACCCAGGGAGATCTTCCACATGATACGGAGCGCTCGGGGAACACTTGCGTTGAGTCCCGATGAGCACAAGTACGTCAATAGATTTGAAGGCATACAGAATCTCTAACTCACGATCTCGATCAGAAACGGAAAGTGGATTCCACACCAAGATTCGCATCACGTCTGCTGATGTAATCGCTCCGCTGACAGCCTGACACGCCGTCTGCTGATGTAATCTCGCTCCGCTGACAGCCGACGCTCTCTCTGTAATGCTGACGAGCAGACCAGAGTTGCCGAGCGCCGCCTCTGTGCAGCAGACGATCCAGTCTGGCTCGCTGAGGTCCTGGCCCACGAAGCAGGCCGACGTGAGGGCCCAGACGAGCAGCGCGAGAAGAAACAAGAATGATGTGAAGCAGAAATGTGGAGTGAAGGGTGAGTGCGATATCGGGGCGGGTGGGGGCCAGCCTCGAAGTCGGGGTTCCCGAGGCCTCCCCCGCCTGCCGAGCGGCCGCTGGTGCATGTCCACCTGGGCCGCGCGGCTATGAGGAGGAGGAGGAGGAGGAGGATGAGGATGAGGGTGAGGATGAGGATGAGGAGGACCAGTGCAAACCCAAGGCTCATCAACGATGTTGGAATACACCCTCCCTCCAAGCTCCCTCTTCATAGGCCTTTACAGAAGTTCCTTCATTTTCACGGAGGGAAGTGCCCCGTTGGGGGGCAGCCGAGTGAAAATCTGGAGGGGTGCCAAAACACAATTCTCAGGACTTCAACGCCACGTGTCAATCTGACCGTGGCGTCTTGACGATCCTGAATCGCACCAGAACGCCATTCCTGGAACCCTGGCACCGCGAATCCACGTAAATGTGGCGCCCCGACAGTCCCGAATCGTTCCAAATAACCGTCTCTGGTACGTCAACCATACGAAGCAATGAAGCTCTTACCGAATTTTTAAAAAAACGAGTGCACGCGGTTCTAAGGCGACAACCGCTTTTAGAAAACGAGCCGCCCTCAATCCGTTAACCTCTTGCAGATATCTAAAACGAATGTACGCGGCGCAACAACGGGAACCACATTTTAAACGTGAGCCGCCCTCAGTAAACTTAATATATTCATATAAACAAATGTACGCGGCACTGCGGCGAGAAGTAGATTTTGAAAACGGCCCGCCCTCAATCCGAGAAGCTCTTGCAAATGTTAATTAAAACGGATGCGCGCGGAGCTGAGGCGCGAACAACATTTCGAACATTGACCGCCCCAAATCCGAGAAGCTCTTGCAAACGTGTGAAACGAATGCGCGCGGCGCTGAGGCGAGAAATGCATGTTTGAAGCGACCCGCAGTCCATCTGTAACGCCGGGCCCGCCCGTCCGACTGGCCTCCTGGTGCGGCAGGGAGGGGTGATTCATACGGAACGGGATAGCGAAGGAGGGGAAGGAGGAGGAGGACGAGGAGGAGGATGAGGAGGAAAAGGAAGAGGGGGAGGAGGAGCAGGAAAAGCAATGCAAACACAATACACCCTCCCTCCAAGCTCACTTTCCATCGACCCTACAAAGGTTCATTGGCACTGCAAGAAAAACCCGCTGGGACACAACCGTGAACATCTGGAAGCGTGCCAAAACATCATTTCCAGGACTTCAGCGCCAATTGTCAGTCTGAATGTTGCGTCTGATACGGAATCGTGCCAAAACGCCGTCCCTGGGATTCCAAAACACAGTGAATCAACGTATTGTTGCGCCATGACAATCCCGAATCGCTCCAACATTCAAGTTCTGGTACTTTGACCATGAGCAACCGCGAAACTCTGCAACTTGTTGAAACGAATGAGCGCGGCGCTCGGGCGATAAACACATTTTGAGAACGAGCCGCCCTCAATACGAGACACCCTGGCAACCTTTGAGAACAAACATGCGCAGATTAAAACGAAGACCACATCAAGAACATAAACCACCCTCAACCCGTGAAGCTCTTGCAACCATCACAACGAATGTGCGCGGCGCTGAGGCGAGAGCCACAGTTTGACAACCACCCGCCCTCCATCTCCGAAGCTGTTGCCAGGTTCTGAGCGTCAGGTTCGTCAGTAGCGAGGAACTCTCAGGCGTAATGCCCGGCCAGCCCTTCCGAGTGGCGTCGGGGTGCGGTAGGGAGGAGATCTTCATAAGGACAATGAAAGGAGGAGGAGGAGGAGGAGGAGGAGGAGGAGGAGGAGGAGGAGGAGGATAAGGAGGAGGATAAGGAAGAGGAAGAGGAGGAGGAGGAGGAGTTGCAAGAGGAGGAGGGGGAGGAATTACGGAGTTACGGATCTTGTGACCATGTCGGTTAATGCCTGGCTGGACTTAACACCTCGCCTTAACTGTAGCCCGTCTGGCCTCCCCAGACGCAATATAGACCTTCGGCCACTTGCCCTGCGAAATGTTAAGCAAATAACCGACCCGATTACCCGTGCAATGTCCTGGGGCATCATCCGTCCTCTTCTGCCACCTCCTCATCCTCACCTTCTATTCCTCCTCTCGATCATCATCATCAACAGCAACACCATCATCGTCATTGACGACGACGACCACCACACCATCGTTGGACAACGTATGCCTCCTCTTCTTGTCCCTTCGGCCCAATGCCTCCTCCTACTCACTCCCACAACCATCATCATTCTGCTCCCCCCATCCTCATCCACCACCTGTTATTCTACGTTCACCTCCCCACGCTCCTCATACATGTCCCCATCATCGTCCTCCTGTTCCCCCTCATCGTCAGTGCTCCTCCTCGTCCTCCTCGTCCTCTCCTCCTGCCCCTGGTTCTGCGCATCTTCCCCTCCCCCGCCACGTCCCATTACCCTCCTTCGTGCTCCGCCTCTTCCTGACGTTCCTGGTCCTTCTCATCCTCCTGATCATTCTCCTCTGTCTGCTCCTGATCCTCCTTGTCCTATGTTCCTCGTCCTGCTGCTGCCCCTCCGCCTGAACAACCCGCCTCCCCCTCCCCGTCCTCCTTCGATGCTCCCTCCTCTTCACGCGGTTCCTCCTCCCCCTCCTCTGTCCCCGTCCTCCTGCTCCTCTTCCTGACCGCCATCATAATCACACTCGTCCAAGCTCATCCTTCCACCTCAGGCGTATCTACCTCCCACTTCGCCTGCCTCCTCTCCCACTTTCTCCTCCTCCTCCTCCTCCTCGTCCTCCTCGTCCTCCTCCTTCTCCTCCTCCTCACTCATTCCCCCCCTCCTCCTCCTCCTCCTCCTCCTCCTCCTTCTCCTCCTCCTCCCTCTCCTCCCTCTCCTCCTCCCTCTCCTCTCCTGCAGCCGAAAAGAATCTCCCCCGCCCTCCTCCGCTGCCTCCTCCTGCTTGCTCCCGCATCGCCTGCGCCAGAGCGGCAGGGTCGGGGTCCGCCCACATGGGCCACTGGCCCTCGTCGCTGTCGCCGTGCGGCACGTCCACCAGCTCGTAGCCCAGCAGCACCTGCAGAGGGAGGCTCGGCTCGGCTCGGGCCCCGCGGGTGTCTCTGCCGTAGCAGCGCTGCACTCGACGCCCTGGGCGTCGTCTGCGCGACCGTCGAGACCAGTGGCCAGATCGACCTTACTGGCCGCCTGGCCTCTCGGGCTCGGCCCCTGTGCTGCCCCCGCGTGCGGCTCCCCACCCTGGCGCGCCTGGGGAGCTCGGGGGGGGGACTTTACAGTAGGGGCCCGACCACAAGAAACCTTGCACGAGAAACCCAACCCTGAGACCCCAGGACGTCCATTGATGTTTGGTGTGGGAGCGTCACGCTGTCCATAACAGAGCCAGGGAACCCCGAGAAACCCAGGGCACCCTGGAGGCAAGCAGGGTGTTTCTTGGCACGGGCCCCCACTGTAGAACGCAACTTCTGGGAAATGTTCGTGGAACCGGCTAAAGGCGACCAGGCCCGACCAAGGGGCCACGCCGCCAGACTCAGGCAGATCGGGCCCAAGGTCCAGACCCCGCGAGATGGAGCCTGATTGCACGGGATGCGGCCGATACTGAGGGAGACCTCCCAGAATGTGCAACACAGGAGGGAGGGCGAGAGGGGGGAGGAATGGATGTTTACCAAAGGTTCCCCAAACAGTGCGTGTAGGCAGGGGCTTTCAGTTACCTATCCTCCGCCGAGCTTCTTTTTTGTTGAGCTCAACGCCAACACCTCTCAAGCTCTGCGGGCGCCACCACCATGACAAGGACGATTGGTGGTCTCCAAACCAGGTGGTGAGACACCCGGTGGTGACCCCGATTCCCCCAAAAGATAATTCTGGGTCACCACCGGGTTTGGGGACACGCGGTCGCCACGAGGTTTTGCGTTTCCTGGGCCAGCCAGCGCTCGAAAACCATTTCCCAAATCGCCCAAAACTCACCACCGGGTGTTCTCACCACCACGTTTGGGGACCACCAAGACGAGCACCCCGGCGAGGCAGAAGATCCTCCACCGAGCCGGGCCCGGAAGCAGCCCCGGCGGCCCCAGCTCGGTCCGTCGCCGCAGCTTTTCTCAGTGGGGGGGGGGGGGCGGCCAGCGATGAGGGCAGAAGGGAGGAGGAGGAGGAGGAGGAGGAGGAGGAGGAGGAGGAGGAGGAGGAGGAGGAGGAGGAGGAGGAGGGGGAGGAGAAGGAGGAGGAGGAGGAGGAGGAGGAGGAGGAGGAGGAGGGGGAGTGCAGCGGCGCGGCGGCTCCCCTCCCGTCCGTCGCCGCCGCCCCGCTGCACCCCCCCACTGCACTGCAAGCACACTGCGCTGGAAGCGCACTGCGTGTGCGTTGCGATCGACATGCGTTTACGTTGCAGTCGCATTGCCTGGCATTGCCTTCCGTTGCGTGGCCTTGCACTGCTTCGCATAGAGTTGCTGTGCATTGCTCTGCAGTGCCTTGCGCTGCCATTGTTTGCATTGCTGTGTATTGCGTTACGATGCGTTGCGATGCGTTGCGACGCGCTGCATTGCCGTGCAGTTAATTTCCTTACATTGTGTTGCGTTGCTGCGCATGGTCCTGCACTGCTTTGCAGTGATGCTCCTTTCTAAAAGAAATTGAAATCCCTTTGGGTGTGCCGCTTCCCCCTGGGATAATACAATGTACAAATGGTTCCGCTCCATAGTTCATTTTATATATGGATCCATACCGTCCCAGCCAGACCCTTATCGGCACTGCCCTTTTCATTCACCAAAATTAATAATATGCGCGGACACTCGTTTTTCACATATCACGCATTTTCAAGCATCCCTTACAACAGATGGAACGAAATACACACGCACGCGGCGTCGCGCGCGCATGCAAACATTCCCTCCGACAGCAAAGGCTTCGTGACTTCGTCGATATTTCAAGGCCGATGCTCCCGAACGTGTATGCAAATCGATGGGTTCGCAACATGTTGTTCCAACACAACCTGCGCGCGCTCTTGCGAATCTGAACGAGCCCATGCTTGTTTCCCTCTTGTCCACATGCGGGCATCCCGCGCGCATGTCGAAATCATTCGCACGACCCTGCGCGCTTGCGCGGGGTGGGGGTGCACGGTCGAGATCGTGCCTGCCGTTTGGGGAGATACCCTCCTTCAGGCTTCCCGCCTCAGAACCGTCAACAGGAAGGCTGGTTCAAACCTTGGCGCGGGCACGGAATTGTCACGAAACCAGAGGCCTCCTAGATGGGGTCCGAGTAGATGGGGTCGAAGGATCGCGCCGCATCGGCGATGCATCGGCGACGTCGGCGATGTATCGGCGACGACGGCGTGGGGCAACACGGTCTCCACATCGAGCCGCATCGTCGATGCATCGGCGATGCGGCGCGAACCTCCGACCCCATCTACTCCGACCCCATCTGGGAGGCCGTGAGAAATCTCTCTTCGCCAACCTCGGTCCTGCACGTTTGGGTGTGATTGGTGACACGGTCTGCCGGGCAATGGATGTCACAAATAACCTTTGGGGTGCCGCCTCTCCCGCTATGAGGCGTGTGTGTCCGCAGGCTTCTCCGCGTCCGGGGCAGCGACACTCCTCGCCGAGAGCGCTCCAGGGGGTTGCCCTTGGTCGTCCCCTTTGGGGTGCGGGGGGGCAGCATCGGTCCCCCGAAGTGTCGGCCACATTCGCTGGGCAGCCCTTGCCCCCTTCGTGGTCCACGCATCTGCGCTCCTTCCTGCAGGTTCTGATCACTACCTGGACCTGGAGTCAAAGCTGTGCATACGTTTCTTGTCTTCCCCAATCGCAGGACCTGCCGCGTAAACGGAAGGGCGGGAGGGGAGGGGAGAGGAGGGGACACTCATAGAACTCAGCAAAATCCCCACGAACCTGGCACAGTACGTGCAGTGCCGGGGATGGCGGACCGTCTTCCCATCCTGCCATCAAAGGGGGATGCGAAGTCCCGGAAAACGGGACGGGGTCGGCACAGGTTGGTATCATAGCCGATCCACTACCCATAGAGGCATCAAAGCCTCTGGACCGCAATTGCGAATCACTTCAGGATCATGTGGACAGAGAGGAGGGTGGGGAAAAGAACGAGGGATCGAGGTGGTGATGAAATTAACCTCAGATATGGTCGAAGCCTACGAACGCAGCGCAGGTATAACATACGCCCCTCGCTCTTCCGCAGACTACTCCGCTACCCCTGTCTTCAATTTTTTTTGCCTTCCATTGAGTTTCTCCTCGATCCTGCGCCTACAATGCAGTAGTCGCGTTGGTCCCAATATTTCTCTGAATGAGAGAGCCCGCCAGAGGGCAGAGCATGTCGGAACACGTTTGGAAAATAAAACTGATCGAGCGCCGGGCTACTTCTTGGCGGCGTCCGCGTCGGTGTTCTTGTGGGCCGTGTGGTCCGTCGGCTTCTTGTAGGCCCGGAGATCCAGGGTCCTGAAGTACTCGATCGTCTTGACGAGGCCCTCGCGGAGCTGCGTCGTCGGCTCCCATTGCATGAACGTCCTCGCGCGCGTAATGTCTGGCCGGCGCTGCTTCGGGTCGTCCCCCGGCAGGGGCAGGTGGATTATCTTACTCTTGCTCCCCGTGAGCTCGATCACCAACTCGGCCAACTGCCTCACGGTGAACTCGTTCGGGTTGCCCAGGTTCATTGGCCCAACAGTCTTCTCCTGCTCCATCAACCTGATCAGGCCATCCACAGTGTCGTCCACGAAAGTGAATGACCGCGTCTGCTGCCCATCGCCGTAGAGTGTGATGTCCTCATTGTGTAGCGCCTGCATGATGAAATTGGTGACCACTCGGCCGTCATACGGGTGCATACCTGGACCGTAAGTGTTGAAAATACGCGCCACCCTGATGTCAACGTTGTGCTGCCGCATGTAATCAAAGCAGAGCGTCTCCGCGACGCGCTTGCCCTCGTCGTAGCACGACCTGACGCCGATGGTGTTCACGTGTCCCCAGTAGGCCTCGGTCTGGGGGCTCACCTCCGGGTCTCCGTAGACCTCGCTGGTGGAAGCCTGCAGGATGCGCGCTTTCACGCGCTTGGCCAACCCCAGCATGTTCATCACGCCAAGCACTGATACTTTGGTGGTCTTGATGGGATTGAACTGGTAGTGCACTGGCGACGCTGGGCAAGCCATGTTGTAAATCTGGTCGCACTCGCAGAAGAATGGCTCCGTGACGTCGTATCGAATGAGCTCGAAGCGAGGGTGGCCGATCAGATCGGAGATGTTGGTGCGCTGGCTGGTGAAGTAGTTGTCAAGGCACATGACCTCGTGGCCCTGCGCCAGCAGCCTCCTGCACAGGTGCGAGCCCAGAAAGCCAGCGCCGCCGGTGACGAGGATACGTTTGAACTCGGCCGGCTTCTCCAGCTCGCACCTCGACGGGGTGGAGTACGCGATGTCTGGCGGCGCGCAAGAGGGATAGACCTCTGATCCCCACTAAGTGGCCCCCAACCTTCTCAGGAGGCCGCCCCCCCACGCCCTGACACTCGACCAAAAATCCGCTCGAAATTGGCACCCACTCGTTTGGACGCCAGAAGTGGGTACAGAAAAAACGGCTACGATGCTCAACAGCAAACGTTGCCCACAACCGGCAGCGGCTGCTTTGGGGCAGGCGGCCTTCTGTATCACATGGACAACGTCCGCAGCGACGCCAACGAACAAAGTTCAAAATGGAAAGGAACTGCTGCCGGTCTTCGCCCAGTCGGGCTGGTGACATGAGGAACGATCGATTAACAAAGAAACTCCTTTTAGGCCCCAAGCGCGCCTGCGTGCACGAGGAGGGCCGGAGGAGCAGCCAAGGAAGGAAAGACCTCAGGAGTGTCGAGCCCCTTTCGAACCCGAACTGCTCATTATCTCAGCGTCTTGGCTGCACTCGACTACACGCAGGAGTGACCCTGGCTTAGAGTGACCTGTGGTTCGCGGCTTTTGGGTGGCCGCGGGGGGGGCAAACGCAAGCGCGCAAGACACTACTACCACACCGCGTTCGGCGATCAGGGGACCCCGTTGGGCCCGCCCCAAAGGTCACTCCAGCGAAAGGTCACTCGTACGTGTAGTCTTTCTTTCTT